GTGCTAACATAACTCAAATTCTTGATGCCAAATACCAAGAAGTCACCCCAGAGCAAGTAGCTGTTCAACAGGACCATATGAATAACACTCAGCRCCAAGCCTTTAAAGAAGTGCTGGCCAAAKACCAAATYGTATTCGASGGCAAGCTGGSAAGATATCCCCATGAAAAGATCCACGTAGATCTCATTGAAGGCAYRAGACCAGTATGGAAAAAGCCTTATCCGGTACCATACAGACACAGAGAAGTGTTCAAAAAGGAATGTCAACACTTGGTCAATGAGGGCATCATTGCACCTACACTCAATTCTGAATGGGGTTTCCCCAAGTTCATCATACCAAAGAAAGAYGGGAGAGTACAATGGCTGGTAGATCTGAGGGAGCTAAACAAGCTGGTTAAACGCCCAAAGTTCTTGCTCCCGCGGATCCCTGACATAATGAACCACAGACRAGGACATGACTATTTCACCAAGATATATCTGTCCATGATGTTCTACTGTTTTGAACTAGATGAGGAGAGGCAAAAGATCTGTACTCTTACTACTGAACAYGGTAACTATYGCTGTCTTYGATTACCTATGGGTTTGAAGTCATCACCTGACKACACTTAAGCCTTCATTACTAAGATMTTGAATGGATTGGATGTGGAAGTCTACATAGATGACATGGGACTCTGGAYGTCAGGTTCCTTTGACAAGCACATGTTGCTGGTRGACTCCATCTTGCACCGCTTGGCAGCCAACAGTATGAAGTGCAACCCTCTCAAGTGTGAATGAGCTGTCAAGGAATCCAACTTCCTTTGATACTGGCTTACCCCCAAAGGAGTTAAGCCTTGGCAAMAGAAAGTTGATGGTATCCTTAATGTGGGCACACCGCAGAACCAGGAACAGGTGCAATCCTTCCTTGGCACGGTAAACTACTACAAGTCCATGTGGCCTCGTTGGTCTCATCTCCTYGCTCCCCTTAAAGCATTAACAGGATCTAGTCCCTACGTTTGGACACCTGCTTGCAACAAAGCTTTCAAAGAAATGAAAGCTCTGTTAGCACATGATGCAATCAACATCTTTCCGTATCTGAATTTACCCTTTGATATCTACACTGATGCCTCTGACTACCAGCTTGGCGCGGCTATCTTACAAACTCAGCAGCCATCTGGAGTCAGGCGTCCCATTGCYTATTGGTCAAAGAAACTTGACAAGACGCAACTCAACTACTCAACAATGGAGAAGGAGCTCCTCACAGTCATCTTATGTCTCAAGGAATATCGCAACATGCTCTATGGTGGTCAGATCAACATTTACACTGATCACAAGAACCTCACCTTTCGGACGCTTTCCCAGGCTCGCCTTCTGCGTTGGCGCCTGGGCATCGAAGATTTTGATATCACTTGGCATTACATTCCTGGAAAGGACAATGTTCTTGCAGACTGTTTTTCTAGAGTGCCCAGGATGCCTCCATGCACTGTGGGGGATAAAGAAAAGAAAATGTATGAGCAGAAATGCAGTGTAGTAGTCAACTTCAAGGAACTCACTGCACCCATGGATGATGCGGATGTTTTTTACTTTTGAACAAGAACTGCACGAGTGCCTATTAAACCTTCCACTGGTGACAGAAATGGATAATCCATTGACATGGGAATTTATCCACACACATCAATTAAATGATCCACAGTGTCATCTTCTACATGCGATGCACCCAGCGGATTATATAAAGCAAACCCTAGACTCATTTGACATACTAACTGCACGAGTCAGAAAGCCCAGAAAGAGAGATCCAGATACAGGAGCAGTGCAACCAAACAAGTATCATTGGGTGATTTATCTCCCTGCTGGACTAGTACAAMGCACCCTCAGATGGTACCACCTATCACTAGGTCACTGCGGAGCCACAAGACTCTACGACACTATCAGTGCAAGGTTCTTCCATCCATGACTCAGTGTCCTTTGCAAAGAATATCAATGCCCTGATGAATGTCATCRATTCAAACAGTTAGGATAAGGATATGGACACCTACCTCCTAAGGAAGCTATTCTAATGCCCTGGGACAAGGTATATGTGGATCTAATTGGTCCATGGAAGATACTGATAGGAGATACAGAAGTCAATTTCAAAGCACTCACTTGCATYGATCCAGTCACCAACCTACTGGAGGTGATCAGAATCAACAACAACAAGTCCAGCRMGCATGTWGCTGAGCAATTTGTCAACTGTTGSTTAAGTTGATACCCCAGACCAAACAGATGTATCCACAACAATGGAACTGAGTTCTTGGGTCATGAGTTTCATTGAACCAATACAGAGTAAAGAGCTTTCCAACTACTGTAAAGAACCCTCAAGCCAATGAGGTTTGTGAAAGAGTACATCAAACCACTGCCAACATCCTCAGAGCAACTCTGCACACAAGAGCTGACATAKGCAACRAAGATTTCAATGAAGAACAACTCATTGACAATGCACTAGCCTCAGCAATGCATGCTACCCRTTGTGCAGTTAGCACATCACTACACACATCTCCTGGAGCAACAATGGTGTTCCACAGAGACATGATCATGGACATCCCTCTCATCGCAGATCTYGCCACTATCAGGAACAGACGTCAGCACCTTGTGAATGAAAACTTGAGAAGAGAAAACTCAAGACGAATCAAGTTCAAGTACCAAGTGGGTCAACAGGCCTACATGAAGACTTATGAACCGGACAAGCTGTCTGAAAGATTACACGGTCCTTACCCAATAGTTCTACTTCTCATTACTATGTATTACAGTCACACCAAAGTGTTGCTAAGAACTAAGAATCATACGATCACACAATTGATAATAAGGTATGAGGAAAAATCTGAATCGAACGAGTGAGAAATCACATTGAAATCACGTGTAAATTACACAGAAATGTGAAATCTGACTATGCGATTTYGATTGCATCGAACACGATTTTGATGCTTTACTATGTGATTTTGATGCATTTCCGTTGGAGCTTACTCCGACAGTTCCGAGCTCTGATAGCAATTTTGAAGCTTTTTCCGAGCAATGTATCCCATTGGGAAACTACACTGGAAATACTAACAAAAAACTAGACAAGATGAAATCCGACTGGTTTAATAGGCATACACTCAAATGCCTGAGAAACAAATCCAATCCAGGGGCTGATTGAATTTCAATCTGGCATTGTGAGTGCCTCTCAAGAATCTGCTCGCAGCTTGTGCTAAAGCAAAACCAATTCTTGATTTAACAAGGCCACATACCTGAGAGTAGTGTCTTCCCCACTTGGCAGCAAGTTTGGCGSCAAGCTGTTTGCGGGCTGCAATTGCTTCTTTGCCTTCCATGCCATCAATGGAATAAACCAGAGGAGTGAAGTGGCAATGAGCCTAGTGGCAGAGATCCAAATACTTGTTCTTCTTCTCTCCTCTTTCATGCTGCTTGAGCACTTTCCAGGGAGCAGTTTTGCTATAGGATTCTGCATCAGTATCAGTGATTCTGACGTCAAACACTGCCGTTGTGCCGCTCTTCCAGAAGTTGTGCACTGAAAGATCTCCATGGAGGTCTTGCTGGGGGGGTTGGGTGTTGCATTGGCTCTGGAGCTGATAATCAGACGCATCAGTGTAAATGTGAAAAGGTTTGTTCAAGTCAGCAAACGTGTTGATAGCATCATGTGCAAGGAGCGCCTTCATCTCCTGAAA